GTCTTTCTGGACTTTTGGAAGGCCTTTGACACTGTCTCTCACCCCGTTCTCATTAAAAAACTGGGGGACTGTGGTGTCGACACCTACACAGTCAAGTGGGTCACTAACTGGCTTGGAAGGTTGCACCCAGAGAGTGGTGGTGGATGGGTCATTTTCAGCCTGGAGGGGTGTGGGCAGTGGGGTCCCCCAGGGCTCAGTCCTCAGGCCCACACTGTTCAACATCTTCATCAGTGACTTAGACGAGGGGGTAAAAAGCTGCAGTATCACATCGATGGCTCACGTTCATCTTGTGGTCAATCATGGCAGCGGGAGGGCAGTAGCCATTTAATATGGTCGTGCCCCCTTCTTTCAGTGGGGTGGGCTGGAGCCTGGCCATGTCCCCTTCCTTCTCCACAGGGCTGGGTCAAGCTCTCTTCCACTGACAGGCTGCATTGGAGTCAGCCTGCCCAATGCCTCTGTCCATGCGGCCAGATGGCACCCACTGTGCCCGCCCAGATCAGGAACATCAGTTAAATCCAGCCTGCGGACAGAATGGGCACAGCCAACCCAGTCTGCTAGACAAAGGTTGAGCACAACTGGGTTATACCCATCACCATGGTTCTTAGACATGGCCTTAAAAATTGCATCCATCCTTGAAGCTGAATGAGAAAAATGTGTATCAGTAAATCATGTTCTATAAATTGAGTCTGGAATAAAAGTCTTGGCTTGTATCAGCAATGTTCTAGGTAGATGAAATAGATTCTGAGATGAATAGAAATCTTTCTGTGATCAAGTGGAAAATATGATTGCACTGTGAGTGTATCATTGGCAATTGTTCTTCTAAAAATGCAGGAACCTGGAATTCATTTTAATATATGCATTCCGAAAGGTTGAAAACTGCTTTGCTGATTTGGGCGTACAAGTAGTTGACAGAAATCCTTTAACAGCTAGTCAGTTGGACCTATTTGTCCTTGTGCTCAAGTGAAATGTATAAAACACTTTTAAAAGGTGAGCCGGAGAACAAAAATTCATAAGTTGAGTGGACACCAGAACCAGACGCAGATATTGAGTTCATGGCTAGCTAATTTACCTGACTCCTACAGATCTTTCTTCAAACCACAGGCAAAAACGCCCTCTTCCTCCTTTGAAAGGTTTAGATCACCACTAATCAAGCTATCTTTTTCTTCTCTGCTAGATACGCATGAGAATTTCTCTTTAGTCCAATTTCACAGCCCTGCAGGCTGTTTTGGGGTTTTTAAGTTCTTTCTGTACCTTTTTCCTCAGACTGGAAGAAGAAAGTACTGCATTTGAAATCTTGTCTAAGTTTATCCCAACTATACAATTGAGCTAATAAAATATCACCCACAGAAAACCTTGTTTTCCCTTAACTACAAATTTACAAGGAGCAGTCCAAATGGGATTACTTTTTAATATGCTCTTTGTTTAACCTTACAAGTTATCTTTGATAGTAATTCAACAGTCATTGTCGACCTAATGTTTGCTATGATTTATTTTTCTTGTCTTTCTAATTTCTGTTTCTTATTGTTCAGCCATATGACCTGTATCTGTTAGGACTTCTAAATGAACAACTCTTCAGATGTTAATGAGTCTGTTGCAACTAAAAACTTAGAAGATTCACAGTAGGAATTCTAAGTCATAGTCAAAGAACTAGATCTCATGATAAAGTAGATAAAAATAACATTGCTGTTTGTTGGAAATAACATGGCTTCCTGCCTCTAGTATCGTCAGTATTGGTACAAGGAGGAAGCATATTTTTAATTGGTCTTCAAGCCACATATTAATTCTTTCAGTCTTATGCAATTCCATTTTCTCTATGTAATCAATGTAAAGAACCTAAGAAATGCACACGGAGTTTTAGTTTACCCTACAGCAAGTTCATGGTACAAGGCCCAGAAGTTGGGGATAGTAAAGACTAGCTTCTGTCAGTCCATCTCCTGCATGTCCTCTATACTATAATAGCTTGAGCAACAGGACATCCTACTGCCCTATTGCTCCTAATAATAACATCTTTTTGCTGTTAATGTAGAAATACTGTCATTTTCCTGGAAAGACAGCTTGTCTTCAGGTAACTGATTTCAAGTAAACCATGGAAAGTTCTGTGGTCTTGAAGTATAAGAAGCATAGAGTGGAGGCACACAAGCATGCTTGCTTTGGGGTATTGCCGGTTACTCCAGAGGAAAAGCTGTTCTGTGGTATAGAAAGAAAGTAATTCTCACCCTGAGTGCCACAAGTTCTCACAACATCCTAGGGTGCCACAAGATCCTTTTAAGGGTATTGTGGGATGATGGGGAACTTCAGCACTTGGTAATCGTGTAAGTGTTTGCATAACTAAGATAAGCCCAAAGATTTAACATAGATGCTATGGATGGCATTGTAGGTTTCTTTCTGTAGTCTTTGCACCAGAAGAATTTTGCTGTGGTCAAAAAAGAGGAAGCTAAAATCCAGCATTTTCTGAGAAGTTCTTTGAGTAAAAAATAAATAAATAAATAAATAAAAGGGAGGGGCGGGGCACTGAGAATCACTACACCAATATATGTGTCATGCCCATTACCATTATCAGTTTCACCCAAGGGTAGCAGTTTCCTCGATTCAAATTTGCTTCTCTGCCACCTAGTAGGCAGGTTCTGCAATAGCTTCATCCTGTTCCTTGACTGCAAAGCAGAGTTTGGGATAATGTATTCTATGGTAATTACCATGCCCTTGCCTGTAGTGTATTATGCTGAGACTTAGATCTGTTAGCTTGTATGTTGTGGAACTTAGTGCATGTTTTGTTAGTAGAATAATTTTTTTAAAAAAATCTATACCTGGCTCTAAGTGGTGATTTTCCTCATGCTGACAATTCTTTTTTAACTTCAAAAAAAAAAAAAAAAAAAAAAAACTTGACTTCTGAAATCTAATCCTTTTTGCCACCCTTTGTTTTTTCTCTTTTGCAGCCTTCTACAGAGCACAGATCAAGAAGTATCAAATAATGTCAAAAAAGGACTAAAAGGTCTCATTCCAAACTTGAAAAAAAATAAAAATGCAAAAGGAATAGAGGCATTGCTAGAGAAATTGACCTCCTAATTTTAAACAAAGTTTTAAAGAAGACCAGTTTTCTACCACTGACCTGAGTCTTTGGACATTCTGTACAATGCTTAATGATTTTTAATAAATATTCGTTGATGATAATATATTTATAAATTAAGCAGTTTGTAAAATAATGCGACTGTTCTTCTCAAATAACGTAGTCTCTGGTGTCAGAACCTGAATGAGAACCCTGAAGGGCTTGAGTTCTAGGACTAAGAACAGCCTGTAAGGACATCTACACATCCTAGCTTTGAATTTACATCTGTCCCAGCATTTTATATAAGATCTGTTAATACCATTAATAAAAATGTCTGTGTGGTTTTTTTAAGGTGCTCTTGGTTTCTATAGAAACTGAAGCTCATCTTCTTGAGGTACTTTTTATTTTCTGGGCAAATCATTCTTAATGCATTCCTTTGAAGAACAAAACAAAAAATAGGATGTGTGCCACTTCTACTCTTGATGGTTTCTCAAAAATGGCTGACTTTTTTTTAAGTAGGTCTGAAGAAAGTCAACAGCCATTTCTTTGGGTTATGTAGACTTCTGAGTGTGTCTAGTCTTCAGCAAAGTACAGGCTTTTTTACCTTCACAGTTGGGTTCAGCAAGTGATGTGTTCATTTTTTTTCTTCTGTTTAGTGGAAATGGAAAACATGGATTTTATTGTGTCACAGTTGCAGCTAGCTGATAATAAATTTTAATTGGCCTCAAAAAAGCAGAAAGGTATAATGCCCCAATGTTATGTAAATGGCTTGAAAAGGAGGGAGTGACCATGAGGCAGGCAACAGGACAGCTAACTGGAGAGTTTGACTGGGAGTTCTCCCATCCATGTTTCAAGACTTTTAATGTTTTTTTAAGTGTAAGGGAGGGAGAAGGAAGTTATGACTGATTCTAAGACAGGGTAGGCAATTATTTTGGCTGTTGAGGGCTGCAAGGTAGCGTGCCTCCCCCCTATTTGCCATCTTGTGACCAGAAGTCCCTCCCCTTGCCCCTGGAAGTACTCTTTTGAGAGGGGTGCCATCTTGGAACTGGGGAAACACCTACAATAAATATTTTAATTTTATTTCAAAAAATATTTTTGTCCTGATTTTGTGTATTTGCACAGTGTATATAGAAGTGATTGCATAATAGCTCAAAATAAAATCTTACTCTTGTATATGGTTTGGGGGGTGGGTGTTGGTGTGGGGTTGGGGCTGTGGGAAGAGTTTATGGTTGGGAGGTGGAGTGTGTATGTGGTCTTCCTCCCTATGGTACACAGCCCTGGTCACCAGCAGCAGGCCCTTCAGGTACTCATGGCCTATATAGGCAAAGCCCTGTGACGGCACATGGCTCCAGCCAGTTCCAGGAGCTGCATGGAGGGCAGGGAGCGGGCCTAAGCTGTTCTGGCATCAGTACATGGAGCTTCCATCAGCTCATGGGCAGCTCCTGGGACCCAGCCATAGCTGCATGCTGCAGGGGAAGAGCCCCACATAATGGAGCTGCAGATCTGGCCCTGCTTCTTGCTGCCACATGCAGCTTGGCACTACACCATCATTTAAAGTTGCACAATGTTTGGTTATACCATTGTTTGGCCTCTGCCTGCTAGTGGGTAACTACTGTGACATAATTGGATTTGCTTAACATCATTTTGCTTAGTTACATTTTTCAAGAACATAACTATGACACGAAGCAAGGAGTAGCTGTAGCTGGAAGACCTTGAAATGCCAAAGCTACTACTACCACTGCTCATCCCCTGCCTGTACCTGTTCAGAGCGCTGCTGATCTGTCAGTTTTCTTACCTGGTCCTGATCTGGCTTTGTGGGGCATGTGGCCTACCCATCCCTGCCAAAGAGGGGCAGGTACCAGAGTAGATTAGGGATCTTTCTGCCAGATCTTTCTGCCTGAAAGATTAGGGAGCATTCAATTTATGGAATCTGTTTCAGAGCACCAGATAAGATCAGGAACAGCCAACATGGACTTGTCAAGAGCAAGTTGTTCTTGACCACCTTCATTTCCTTCTACAAGGAGATGGGTTTAGTGATTTGGAAGACAGTCAGTGTGATTAAACCTTGAATTTAATATGGCTTTTGACACCGTCTTCCATAAATGTTCTCATTAGTAAACTCATTAAATATAGTCTTGATGAAAGTGCTTTGATCATGCTCAAAGAATAGTCAACAATAACTTGAGGTTTGAGTGAAGGTATCAAGCAGGGTTCCCCCATGGTCTGTGCTGATACTGCTTTAATCACTTGGAGAATAGGATTATGTATGCACCTAATAAATTTGAAGATATGAACTTGTGGACATGTTGGAAGACAAGACTAGTGCTAGGATGACTTCAACAAACTAGAGAAATGGTCCAAAATTAATCAAATGAAATTGAGTAAGAACTAGTTCTAAGTACTGTACTTTTGATAGAACAATCACATGCACAAATACGAACTGGGTGCATCTACATGAGACAGTCACTGTAGCTCATTGCTATGGCAACGGAGCATCAGCAGGCATGAGCCACGATGCCAACGCTACTGCATAGTAGCTTTGAAAACATCCTGTGCGGCATCAGGATTGCTTAAGTACTAAATGACTGGGCAGCAACAACTGCATAGTCTGGCGCATGTGTAGACACACCCACTCTGAATGGCTGGCTTGGCTGCAGTACTGCTGAAAAAGACCAGAAGTTATAGTGAACTGCAAGCTGAGTAAGAACCAATACCATGCTCTTGTTACAAAAAAGCCAATACCATACTGTGTTGTATTAACAGGACTGTTCCTGGCAAGTCAAGGAAAGTGATTCTTTCACTAATTTAATTCTGGTAAGGCTTAAACTGGAGTGCTTTGTCCAGTTTTAGGGATGTATTTGGTAGCTGTGTTGGTGCGAGACCTGTGTTGGTCTGAGACATGTACCAAATACATCCCTGAAACATGGAAGATGCTAAATTTTAGCTGATGTTGGATTTAAACTTCATTACTGAGCAATAAAAAATATTTCTACGCTTCCCTGCCTTTTTGTCATCTGACACCACCAGGGAAGGAATCCTGCCTTTATCTGCGTATCAAAGAGCAACTTACAAAGACACGCCCATGGACCCAGAGGACCAGACTTCTAGCTTCAGCTTCCTCTGCAAAAAGGAAGTTTATTTTCATAGATGTTTGGGTCAGAAGGGACCTTAGCAGATCATCGAGTCGGGCCCCCTTCTTTGGGCAGGAAAGAGTGTTGGGGTCAGATGATCCTGCATGTCTAGCCTCTTCTTAAAGACCCCTGAGGTAGGGGAGTGCACTACCTCCCTTGGGAGCCCATTCCAGATTTTGGCAACACTTACCATAAAGAAATTCTTCCTGATGTACGACCTAAGTGTGCTCTCCATCAGTTGTGGCCATTGTTCCTAGTTACTCCAAGGGGTGCCCTGGTAAATAGAGCATCTCCTATCTTGCATCACCTTCTTGCTGCCCCCCCCACGTCACGAGTTTTACTTGTCAGCAGTTTGATGTGCAGTTTCCCAGAAACCCCTGCACTTAGCTCCTTGAAACTTGGCAGGATTTGTGGCCTCAGCAAGAGCTACTATCCCCTGCAGTTTTCACCCCAGCGTGGCTTAACAGATGTGTGACATGAGTTTTGCTTTCAGGATTCGAGGTGCAGTTTCCCAGAAACCCCTCCACCTATCACCTTGAAACTTGGCAAGCATCATGCTCTCAGCAGAGGCTACCATTCCTGCAAGGTTCATCTGAATCAGCCAACAGACAACAAAGTTATAGATATTTCATTGACTCCCCTTTATACTCCATGGATGAATCTCCGAATCTTCTGAAGCAATTTGGCTGAATCGAATTGGAAAAACGATTCGGATCTCCAAATGGAATCTGGCATCCGAATCGGCTGAATCTGAATCGAAAAGTTCCCTATTCACACAGGCCTACTAGGAATCACAACTGGGCATAATGGAGGAGACAGTCTATTTGATAAGAGTTGCTTTTCTTGAAGGGGAGTAAATCAGGAACTTACTAGTGGCTTCCAAAACCTCTGCCTGACATTTTTTAAGTTGGGACATTTAAAATCAGAGTCCTAATGAAATGATATTATTTTCTGAGGCAGGAAGTGCCCGTAGCTTCCTCAGAAGTCCAACAGGAGCTCTGGTGTTCACCCCCTCTGACAAGCAGATAACAATTTAGGTATCTGCATGGGAATTGGCTGCTTAGCCTTTGATACGGGAATTTTTTCCTTGGAATCCAAAAATGAAGGTCACAAGTACCATTGCCTGTAACCACTCTATTTTTGTTCCATTCTTGTTTTCAGTAGAACCTAAAACAAGTAGAACTCACAGTATAATCTTCATGAAAAGTAGCTTCTCTTGCCATTCACTTATCCTGTTCAGAAAGTAACCATTAAGTTGATGAGAGAAGCAATGCACAATGATGCAAACAAAAAAAAAATCAAAGACCTGATCCAATAAAGAGTTAACTGAATGTTAGGTTAATTAAACGGGAATGCATGCTTGCGCATCACAATTAGAGCAAGCAGTTTCCATCATTAACTTGGTTCATATCTACCAGCGTGGTGGTGCTGTGCTGATTATGCTTCCTTCTGATCCCACCTAAGCTTATCGGTGGTAGTAAACACTTAAAGGTTAATCCCAATTAGACCTAACTGTCAGTGACATAAAATGTTCCAGCCTGTAAACACATCCACTGCAGGATCAGTTGCTGAAGGACTGCTAAAGCTCATCACTTTCTCTTAACAAGATTTTATCCTGTGACTATGAAACAGATCATTTTAATTAGAAGCAGATAATGAATTTAAACTATTGTGAAGTGTTTCCAGAATTGTAGCTGCTGCCCTAAAACTGACAGGAATATGGTATTCAGCAGCATTTTTTGGGACTCTATAATTTAATATTGGTAACAATGGAATTAAAAAATGAACAAGACTCTTTCAGATTTTTTTCCTCCCGTTATTTTTTTTAGGTTGTTGTGGACATCAGAGTTTGGCACCAAACTAGTGATATGTTTCTCTGGATATTTCAATCCAGAGAAAATAAGTAGTTCTAAAAAGAGTTGCTGATAAACTTAATTACAAAGTTGTATAAAAATGTTTGCATACATTATTCTGCCTTGCCTTCACTTTATTTTTTTCATTATACCGGAACCTTTGAAGGTATGTTTCCCTCTCTCCAAACTCCTTTCCCTTCCTCCCTCCCTATTCACCTTAAGGAAAGCAATACTGATGAATCATGATTAATTTCTTGTACCTTATTTCTTGGTATGGAGCTGCTTATTCACTTAGCTCTTTCCTCCTATTGGGTTAATCTCTTTGTTTGTATTCCATGCAAAGATGAAAAACTTGTTTGAAATCT